TAAAAAAATGAATTCTTCTCTCTAACATGAGCAAAAAATCTATTTATACCCCTTACTAAATTGCCTAGGAGCTCCGCAAAAAGTCGAGCAGCACGTATAGGAGCGGGCGCACCAAAGTCAATGCACGGGTGCTCCTAGCTGCAACAGTGAGAAACAGAATCGTTCTAGAAAGTTTGGAGCGGGTGCTCCTCTTAGACTGCGCGCACGCGCCTTTGCGCTAGACAGAACTACTCAGCTTAAAACGAACATAACTCCCTCGTTTTACATCGGAATTGAGCATATGACCTGTCGTTGGAAAGCTCTTGAGATAAGATTTCATCTTCAATTAGAATCATTCAGAAATGTTTTGTAAATCAAAAGATATAGGCGTTTGAAGTTCGATCTTTGCAAATCAAGTGCACATTTCTTCATTACTTGTTCTTTTATGTTTTATATTTCTTCAATCTTGAGAAATGAACTTATCCAAGTGTTCCTAAACATAAGAATAAACCAATAAAGTTTATTCTAATGCAAGAAGCAACCAAAAATATGCAAGAAAAGCCAAGATTGATCAACAATGACATTTCACATGCAAACACGACAAATGAAATTAAACCTTATTTAAACCAAGTAAAAAGATATCAAAACAATGAAAAACTAACTAGAAACTCCTACAAGATAGTGACATAGATGACACTTATCAAAACCTTCAGGGTTTACGATCAAACTTTCACGTCGTGTACAACCGATTGAGCTTCGGGTGAAGTATTGATATCTAGGAGCACTTGAGGGAGGAATTTAGAAAGGTTTGAGAGATAAAAGATTAAGAGAACAAGAGTAATAGGGAGAAGATGATCTGAAAACGGTGCCCATAACTCTCGAAAACCAATGGTATATATAGGAATAAAACGGGAAAAAGACAGAAATTGTATCGCCAAAATAACAAAATTGTCGCGCCAATTCAGTGTATGTCGCGTAACGATGAAAAAGCCGCTTGGCAACAGAGTCTGGACCGATGCAACAGAAATGTCGCGACACATGGCTAACTGTCGGTATGTAATACCCCGTATTTTTTTAAAGGCATTTTCTAAATTAAAGAGTATTTAGTCTCGTATTTTCGACGTATTTTCTAACTTAAGAATATTTCAGTTTTGGAGCCAGAATGATATTTGAATTTTGGCGCCTAAATCATTTATTTTAATTAAATGGATAAACTAAAAATTTTATAAATAGTATTTTGATTAAATAAATAATAAAACAAAACTATATTAATTAATAAAATTAGAGGCATTTTCGAATATAAAAATCTGATTTTTGTAAACATATTTTTGGATTGTTTTTCCAATAAAATCCAATTTTACTTAATATCTTGCTAAACTAATTATTTTCATGAAATAAAATTAATTTCCTAAAACTAAATAAATATCATTTTCGAATTTTTACAATTAAAAATCTGATTTTAATCTAAGTAAAAGTATTTTCATAAAATAAAATCAATTCCTAAACTAATGAAACACATTTTCGGATTTTATATATTAAAAATCTGATTTTTATTAATTATTTGCTAAATTAATTATTTTTATGAAATAAAATGATTTCCAAAATTTATCAAATAATATTTTAAACTTTATATAATAAAAATCTGATTTTTATACCTTAGTATAGTCCAAATTCGGCCACCCTAGTAATCTAGTAAGAAAAATTGATTTTATTCTTCCAAATACCTATAAACTTATTAAATCTTTAATTTTTGACAAATAAATTATTTTATAAAATCCCTAAACTAACATGATAGGTCCGAAAATATTGAGTAATATTTTGCTCAATATTTTCGGCCATTCATGGTTTTTCTACAAAGATTTTAAATTATTTTATTAAAAAAATAAAATCTTTTAAATTCCTTTACTTCCATTCTTAAACCTAAAAATATTTGATTATATGTCATCCTTGCACTCCAAGCTTAAAAACTACCAAATGGAATTTCATGATCAAAAACTTCCATAATTTATAAACCCTAAAATGCCATAAACCCATCCCCTAAACACCTATAAATACCCCTTTCATACACCCCAAAAATCACACCAAAAACCTCAAGAATTCTCTTCTTCTTTCCCTTTGCTCTCACGGTTTCCTCCTCTCCTCCCCCTCAAATTTTTCGGCCACCATCACCAGCGGCCACCACCTTTCGGCGACCACCTGCTGCCGGCAGCCACCAGCAGCCGCCACTCCAGCCGGCCACATCCACTCTTGCTCCTCCCTTGCATTGGTTCCTCCACCATCCTTTAATCCCTCCTTTCTCTTAATCTTATTTATATTACTAATCATTTTCCTAAATATTATTTCTTACACAAATTAATTTTATAAAAACAAAAAAATTCTTTAAATTATAAACAGAAAATTATTTTATATAATGATAATTAATTCATGCACATATAGGGTAGTTTAATTAAGTTGTTGTGTTTATTTGATAGCCTTATATTAATTAAGGTTATAATTATGTGTAGGGTGTTCGTGATTTAGAGAAGTAGTTGTGAATCGCTCGTGATTGATCAAGGTACGTTATGTGGTTTGATACCTTCGAAAGTTGATTATGAAACCACATTTTATGATCGTATGAAATTATAATTTATCCCGTATGAAATTTTAATTGTGAAACTATAATTTATGTTCCGTATAAAACTATGATTTATTATGAGACTATAAGTTATTATGTTCCGTATCAAATCATATTTTATTACATTCCGTATGATATCATGTTTATGATATTATGTTCCGTATTAAATTATGAAATTATGTCGGATTGAATTTAATGATTTGGATTTAAATCAAAAGGGCCTTAAGTTGTGATTGGAAATTATTGGAAATGATTTGCAAGTTTGTTGTTATGTAAGTGTGATGGATTTTTAAAGACGGGTTTTTAAACAAATCAATCGATATGTTGAATCCCACTTAGGGAATGGTTTAGAGAAGACTATGGACTTTGCATGACCTAGTCTTTCCTCAAGTTTGGCCTTTGATTATAAAGTAAACCACTTGGGGGGTGTGCACACTTAGTGAGGAATTGGTTTGGAATGAATCGATTGAGTTTTACTTGAATTAAAAGAATTGGATTGAAAAAGTTCTATTTGAATACGGCATTGGTATTTCTTTCATTAATTAAACGTAAATGATTTAAATTACGTTTTACTTATCTTACACATGACTTACTTAGCATACTTTGCTAATACGTGCTTTTGTTTTGGCTTTGCCCTGTTTATCATTTATGGTAAACATGTGAATTTTTCAGGTGGAAATTGATTGATGCATACGGGAGTCCACGGGAATTCCACCTAGCTAGGAAAAGTTTGAGTCATTTTTGTGTCACGAATTATGAACGAATTTTTATTATGGTTATTTAATAAAGAATAAAGTTTTCCGCTGCAAAAGTATTTTGTATAAGCCTTGCGTTATACGCGGCGGTAATACGCCCAAGCCTATATCTACGGTATTTATACGTATTTTTCTACAATTTATGTAGAGAGAGATTTGGGGGTGTTACAAAGTGGTATCAGTTGTCGGGTCTTAAAACAAGATTAAAAGTGGAATAAATAAATTTGATGGGTAGACTTAAGTTGGGCATATAGGATAGAGTTTCGCATTTTTTTTTTAAAAAAAAAAAAAAAAAAAAAAAACTATTTTCTTCTTTGGAAAGATGATTGAGAAAAGGATGCTCGGGTTCTCATAACGAGGCCTATAATGGGTACGCCTCTCTGTCTAGGCAAGGCTCTCCCCGACGCTGTGGGTAACTTACCTGGGAGACTCGGGCTCGACCATCCTATATCATGAGTCAAGTACATTATTAATTTCAAAAGAAAATGAAATGAAATTTTTTTTAAGTTTCAAAGACTATGTGTGCATGTAAGATAAGTATATTATGAATTTTTGAAGAAGTCCATGGACATGATCTTTGAGTATATATGTGGCCCATATATGTTAAACTTATATGTTTGTGAACATTGGTATGTTTATATGGATACTTATTGAATTATTGTTTTCTAAACAGATGTTGGATGATATTAGGAAGAAGTACTTTAACATTCACTACTTGAAAACTGATGCAATCAGTGTTAGCGACTTTGTGACTGGAATAACAGTATTAGCTCTACACTACTATGAGAAGTATAATCTTGAAGTCTTCACCCAACCCCCTTGGATAGTTCTTTTGGCATTAGCCCACTTACCCAAGCTTAAGAAGTACTACCATCTATTTGAGAAGTATGGGGATGTGATTAAGGAGGATGGGCTTTGGAATGAGAGGCATCACCATGAAGGGAAATGGCTAGCCACCTTGACCCATTTTAAGAATGACCTACACTATTTGGAGCGTTACTATGAACCTAAGAGGAAGTCCGTCAAGCCACCTAAACTTACCCCTCACCACACATTAAGAGAGGTGGACCAACTCCGATATCTAAATGCTCAACTTCCTTTCTCTTACCCAAAGTATGAGGAAGACTTTGACTCTTCTGATGATGAATCCATTCCACCACTTGGACGGCGTAAGAACTACCCTCATCCTTCCCACTTTTCCCAGTACAATGTACCTATACCACGTGAACATCCAAAACCTCAAACAAAAGCCCGAATTCTAAAAAGGCCTAGAGTCCATGACTTCTCATCATCTTCTAGCTCCAACTCTTCACCTCCTCCACAACCCAACAACCCAAACCCTCAAGGAAACCCAAATCCAAAGTCAGGACAAACCCCAAACTACAGTGACTATGTACCAACCTACTTGAAGGAGCCCAATGGTAACAAGAAGGCTGACAATGAAGATCAAGAGTTCGACACAGTAGAAGAGGAGGGATCAATTAAATGATTTATGTTATGATTGTTTCAATAAATTATATGCATAATAAAGTGTACTCGAATATTAATTAATAATAATAAAGTATTTGCTTGATTTCTTCTATGTTTATGTATATGAATAAATTTTAATTTTTTTCTTTCTTCTTTCTCTCGATTGTGAACATCAAGAAAATATGTCTTTAAAGTTAAAGAATAAGAAAGTTGGTTCCAATATGGGCAAGGTCCTTAAGAAACTAACCGATCTTGCTGAAAACATTACCCAAGTAGCAAACCAAGGGAAGGGTTCAGGAAAGGGGGATACTTTTGGTGAAGTATTCAAGGGAGTAGCTGCAGCCAAACCGCCCTTTTTCTTAGGAAAAGAGGACCCATCTAGCCTTGAAAACTGGATCCGAGAATTTGATAAGTTGTTTGATGCAATCAACTGTCCAGACAATATGAAGGTTAATAATGTTGTATACTACTTAAAAGAAGAAGCTGACTTATGGTGGACCCAAAAGAAAGAAGAATTGATGGTAGACCCTAATTTTGGCTGGGAGGATTTCAAGGTAGCTTTGAGGAAAAAGTTTTATCCTGACCATTTGAGGAAACAGAAATGTTTGGAGTTCACTAACTTAAGGATGGGAACTATGACTGTGAGTGAGTACTATTCTAAGTTCTTAGAGTTGATGAGGTTTGCACCAGAAGTAGTACCAACAGAGGCTATCAAAGCACAAAGGTTCGAGCAGGGGTTAACTTGGAATCTGCAAGGAAAACTGGGTGGGACAACCTTTGAGAGTCTAGATGAGGTGTATGGCCGAGCCGCCCATTTGTATGGAATCAAGGGAAGAGAGCTAGGGAGCATGTCAGGGGAGAAAATAAAGTCCAATGATCAACCCCAAGGGAGCGATAAGAGGCCCAAGAACCATGCAAGTTTTGGGAATGGGAACCATGGGGATAAGAGGGACTTTAAGGGAAATTTTTGGAGAATTTCAAACCATGGTGGTGAGAATAGAGAGAACAAGGAGAGAAACAAGAGAAGTTACTTCTGTAAGAGATGTGAGAAGGACCACCCGGGGAAGGACTGTGCAGGCAATAAAGTGACATGCTGATACTGCCAAAAATTGGGACACCGAGAGTACGAGTGTTTTAAGAAGGAAGCAGATTTGAAGAATGGAAAGGTTCAGGATGGACAGAATCCCCCAAAACCCCCACAAACTAGCGGACCTGCCTAGAACACTGGAATCAGCAATGGTGGAAACACTTCTAAAGGACGGATTTTCGTAATGAATAGCCGTGAAGCTGAGACTTCCAATAATGTGGTAATTGGCACTTTTCTTATACGTTCTTTATCTGTGAAAGTTTTATTTGATTCGGGTGCATCGCACTCTTTTATTTCTAAGACAGTAATAGAAAGTCTCCAGTTAGAAAGTCCAGAGTCAGTCTCCTTGGATATAGCTATTCCAACAAGTGAAGTTAGGGAGTGTTCTAGACTTTTTAGAAATATACCCCTAACTATTTCAGAAGTAGAGTTTCCATCGGACCTAATTGATTTCGATCTCAACGACCTCGATGTGATTGTGGGAATGGACTGGTTGGGAAAGTACAAAGCCCAGATATATTGTTCAGCACAAAAAGTCACGCTCTATGGCCCAACAAAGACCAGAGTGACTTATAGGAAGGAAGGGAAAATTCAAGGAATAAGGATTATTTCGGCTTTACAACTTCAAAAGTGCCTCAAGAAAGGGTATCCGTTATTCATGTGTAGCCTCCAAGAGATAAGGGGTGAAGAAGAGAAGAGTGATAGAAAATTACCTGTTGTGGAAGAATTTCCCGATGTATTTCCCGATGAAATACCAGGCATGCCACCAGAAAGAGATGTGGAATTCACGATTGACTTGGTTCCTGGAACTGGACCTATTTCCAAGGCTCAATACAGAATGGCCCCAGCTGAGATGAAAGAGCTAAAGGCCCAATTGGAAGATTTGCTTGAAAAGGGATATATTAGACCCAGTTCCTCATCCTGGGGAGCTCCAGTATTGTTTGTGAAGAAAAAGGATGGGAGTTTACGGTTATGTATTGATTACCGTGAGTTGAATAATGTCACCGTAAAGAACAAATACCCACTACCCCGGATCGATGATTTATTTGACCAGTTAAAGGGAGCAGGAACATTCTCGAAAATAGATTTGAGGTCGGGTTATCACCAGTTAAGGATTGCAGAGCAAGATATTCCTAAGACTGCTTTCAGGACCCGTTATGGCCATTATGAGTTCACAGTAATGCCGTTTGGGTTGACAACCGCACCGGCAGTGTTCATGGATCTGATGCATCGAATCTTCCGACCCTGTTTGGACAAGTTTGTGGTGGTATTTATTGATGACATTCTGGTTTACTCGAGTAGTAAGGAGGACCATGAAGACCATTTGAGGAAAGTGTTACAATTGTTAAGGGAGCATCAGTTATATGCCAAACTCTCTAAGTGTGAGTTCTGGTTAGAGGAAGTCGCCTTTTTGGGGCATATAATCTCTAAGGAAGGAGTCTCGGTCGACCTAGCTAAGGTCCAAGCTGTACAGGAGTGGCCAACCCCAAACAACGTGTTAGAGGTGAGGAGTTTCCTGGGATTGGCCGGGTATTATCGGAGGTTTATAAAGGACTTTTCGAGAATAGCAAGACCGATGACCAACTTGATGAAAAAGGAATGTAAGTTCATTTGGTCTCCTGAGTGTGAAGAGGCATTTCAAACCACAAAAGAAAAATTGACAACAGCCCCTGTGTTAGCATTACCTGATGAAAGCAAGGAGTATGAAGTGTACAGAGATGCATCAAAGTTTGGGTTAGGATGTGTTTTGATGCAAGCTAGAAGAGTTATTGCTTATGCCTCAAGACACCTGAAGACATATGAGCAGAATTACCCAACGCATGACTTGGAACTTGCTGCCATAGTGTTTGCTTTGAAGATTTGGAGGCATTACTTGTATGGAGTGACTTGTAAAATTTTCACCGATCACAAGAGCCTAAAATATATCTTCACCCAAAAGGAATTGAACAATAGACAGAGAAGGTGGTTAGAATTCATCAAGGATTATGAGCTGCTAATCCAGTACCATGAGGGTAAGGCTAATGTAGTGGTCGACGCCTTAAGTAGGAAGTCAAGACACTCGATATATGCGATGATCTTGCCGGACCAACTGTGTATCGAGTTCCAAAAGATGAGTTTGGAGGTGGTAGAGCAAGGAGAAGTCAGTCGGATGTTGAACGCTTTGATTATTCGACCGTCGATTTTCGAGGAAATTAAGAATAGTCAGTCGGAGGATGAAAAGTTGAAAAAATATAAAAGAGAAAATGAGTAAGGGGCAGGTATCGGATTTCACCATTGATGAAGATGGTGGACTTCGTTTTAAGGGAAGATGGTGCGTCCCACAGCACCGTGGAGACATCAAGCAAATGTTGATGGAAGAAGCTCATAGTTCTCCTTATTCAATGCATCCCGGAGGGGACAAATTGTATAAGGACATGAAGAAAATGTTTTAGTGGCCCAATATGAAAAGAGAGGTTGCAGAATTTATGGCTAAATGTCTGACATGTCAGAAAGTAAAGATTGAACATCGCAGACCACAAGGGAAGGTCCAATCATTAGCAGTGCCTAGTTGGAAGTGGGATTCCATATCTATGGATTTTGTTGGGGCATTACCCAAAACTCGGGCAGGAAATGACACCATTTGGGTAATTATGGATCGATTGACGAAAACAGCGGTCTTTATATCCATGAAAAATACTTGGTCCATGGAGCAATTGGGAAGAGCCTATGTTAAGTATGTAGTCAAGTACCATGGGGTGCCAAGTGATATTGTGTCAGACAGGGATTCGAGATTCCTATCCAACTTTTGGCAAAGTGTGCAAAAAGCAATGGGGACGAAACTACTAATGAGCACGACATTCCACCGTGCCACTGACGGACAGACCGAGAGGACCATCCAAATATTGGAAGATATGTTAAGGGCATGTGTAATGGAATATCAAGGGTCGTGGGAAGACCACCTGGATTTGATTGAGTTCTCCTACAACGATAGTTACCATGCAAGTATTGGGATGGCACCATTTGAAGCCCTATACGGGAGGAAATGTAGAAGCCCAGTCTGTTGGAGTGATATCAGTGAAACAATGGTACTTGGACCAGATATGATTGAAGACATGGTTAAACAAGTCAAATTGATACAAGAAAAGATGAAAGCAGCCCAAGATAGGCAAAGAAGCTATGTTGATTCAAAGAGAAGAGAAGAAGAATATCAAGTAGGAGAGAAAGTGTTGTTGAAAGTGTCACCTATGAAAGGGGTTATGAGATTCGAAAAAAGAGGAAAATTGAGTCCAAAGTACATCAGACCATACGAAATTACCCAACGGGTCGGAAAGGTGGCATACAAGTTGAACTTACCCAGTGAGCTAGAAAAGGTTCATAACGTATTTCATGTGAGCTAACTCCGGAAGTATGTACCTGATGCGACTCATGTACTACAACCCGAGAACATAGAAATGGACGAGAATCTGACTTATGAAGAAAGACCTGTCAAAATCTTGGATACAAAAGTCAGGAGCACAAGAAACAAAGATGTGAGAATTGTAAAAGTGTTATGGACCAATCACAGGGTTGAGGAAGCAACATGGGAAGCTGAAGCCGAAATGCGGAGACGCTACCCAGATCTGTTTCTGGAGGTTAGTAGTCGAGTTACGGGGGCGTAACTCTTTTAAGGGGGGTAGAATGCGATAGAGTTTCGCGCACACCTATTCCCAACCCTCTAAGTTAGCAATAGGCTATGTCTAGTTAGAATGTTTAGCATGTGCATGAAATTAATTAACTAAAAGCTATTTTCAAAGAAGAAATTCTTTTTACTTTCCTCATCACTCTGCATAGTTTCGGGTCGAAACTTCTTTTAAGGGGGGTAGACTGTAATACCCCGTATTTTTTGAAAGGCATTTTCTAAATTAAAGAGTATTTAGTCTCGTATTTTCGACGTATTTTCTAACTTAAGAGTATTTCAGTTTTGGAGCCAAAATGATATTTGAATTTTGGCGCCTAAATCATTTATTTTAATTAAATGGATAAACTAAAAATTTTATAAATAGTATTTTGATTAAATAAATAATAAAACAAAACTATATTAATTAATAAAATTAGAGGCATTTTCGAATATAAAAATCTGATTTTTGTAAACATATTTTCGGATTTTTTTTCGAATAAAATCCAATTTTACTTAATATCTTGCTAAACAAATTATTTTCATGAAATAAAATTAATTTCCTAAAACTAAATAAATATCATTTTCGAAGTTTTACAATTAAAAATCTGATTTTACTCTCAGTAAAAGTATTTTCATAAAATAAAATCAATTCCTAAACTAATGAAACACATTTTCGGATTTTATATATTAAAAATCTGATTTTTATTAATTATTTTCTATATTAATTATTTTTATGAAAAAAAATGATTTCCAAAATTTATCAAATAATATTTTAAACTTTATATAATAAAAATCTGATTTTTATACCTTAGTATAGTCCAAATTCGGCCACCCTAGTAATCTAGTAAGAAAAATTGATTTATTCTTCCAAATACCTATAAACTTATTAAATCTTTAATTTTTGACAAATAAATTATTTTATAAAATCCCTAAACTAACATGATAGGTACGAAAATATTGAGTAATATTTTGCTCAATATTTTCGGCCATTCATGGTTTTTCAACAAAGATTTTAAATTATTTTATTAAAAAAATAAAATCTTTTAAATTCCTTTACTTCCATTCTTAAACCTAAAAATATTTGATTATATGTCATCCTTGCACTCCAAGCTTAAAAACTACCAAATGGATTTTCATGATAAAAAACTTCCATAATTTATAAACCCTAAAATGTCATAAACCCATCCCCTAAACACCTATAAATACCCCTTTCATACACCCCAAAAATCACACCAAAAACCTCAAGAATTCTCTTCTTCTTTCCCCTTGCTCACACGGTTTTCTCCTCTCCTCCCCCTCAAATTTTCCGGCCACCATCACCGGCGGCCACCACCTCCGGCGACCACCTGCTGCCGGCAGCCACCAGCAGCTGC